CATATAATATCGGCTAATTAGAATTATTAAGCAAGCATTTAAATGGCCTGTTACTTTTGGATCCAATGGAAAGTGCCATTTTACTTGCTCTTAATGGTATTTTTTTTATTTAGTCAATTTATTTTAATGACTTCTCTACAGATGCCGTCAATGCGCAAATCATCTACTCTTCCGTTCTTCCCATTCTAAGGTCCCGACATTCCTTTTCAAACAAAATATAGCTAATATGAAGCACGTACATGCACGCAAAATAATAATCTACCTAAATTACCATGTCTTCATCCCTCTCATTCACTCCCATTTACTCGGTGTCCGTGGAGACACTGCTGAGCCAATGCTCTTTGAAGTCTTCCTTCAGGCTCCTTTTCAAATATCACCCGTTTTGTGGAAGCAATTGAATTTTCCTTGGCAGTGGTGTGTTAAACATTAACCCCGCCAGACCCATTGATATTCCGAACAAGGCGCTCCGAGTTACTGTTCCTTTCTTCCCAAACTCCAGCCCCAGTTCCCAGAGCACAGTCAGCACATTGGATGGGCTTTAGAGTCTGTTTCTCACTGCGCTGGATTCAGTGTATATTACAGCTCTTTAAAAAGGACTTCAGTTAGAGCCGAGCGATGCTACTTTTAACATCAAAAAGCTGGGGCGTTAAATCCATTTTTCTGGCAGGACGGACACTGCTCGGCCATTAGAGATCTGACTACAGAAAACCACTCTGGATAATGGTGTGAGCTGTAAAGTGCTTAATACCCACAGGTCAGTATTCAGGTCCTGTGATGATTCCATGTCTTTGGTTACATTGGATTAAATTTGACTGGTCAACATGAACCAATGGGCAAAATGAGATTACAGCCCTATACTAGTTTTCTAAACGATGTTTGAGTTACAATTCTTATCACTCAACATTTGTGAATCCATGTACCAATTCGGGCGGGACTACAGAGAGTTTCTATATGTGGGTATTATATGGGATGTGGTGGCATGCATCATGTATGACGTTCATATCTTTTAATGATATAATTTTTGTTTTTCATAAAAACCTTATTTAAATAAACTTCATATTAGTTTCTATAGAAGTGGCTGCTTTTTATAAACACACCTAAGTGAGCAGAGACATCTAGGCAAGTATCTTACCTAATGCTGATATTTAAATGGCCAGTCTTGGCAGTTTCCTTATTAATTTAGATGAATTTTTTTCATCAGATACTGTCCATATTGAAAGGTACAGCATGCAGAAGATTTGTGCACAAATGGTTGCTCAGGCTGATCAAAAAAAACACATGAGGAGAAGTGTTGGGGTACAATATCAGCAATCAAAGATATTTGCATTTGCACAGGATTAGATTTCTCAGAAGACCGTTGAGTTTGCGGAAAACTGGATCATTTGCTCTGGAATTTTGACAGAGGTTGTGTGAGAAAAACACAGACTTGGCAGATTCAGACGGCATTAAAATCACAAAGTATGTCTGGAAAACAAATTTCTCTAACGCCCTCAGGGAAAACTAGTTCCATCTGGATAGGGCTTATGATGGGGTTACAACAACAAATCAAATGGGGGGAAAAACTTATTAATTATTCATCAGTATTATTTTAGTATTGTTTACATACTATTATAGTATATATTAATATTTTCAATTGAGCTTTTATTTTTACATTTTATTTTTTTTTTTCAGTTTCTTTTTATTTGAAGTTTTGGTAATTTAATGTTCTTTTTACATTTTAACAAATTTTAACCATTTCTTTAAATAGCTGTATTTAACTTTTATTTAAGTTTTAGTGTTAGAAATTTTAGTACTTAAACTTATTTCAGTTAGTTGCCAGAGCAACATTTAAAATATTTTAAAATATTTTTCATCTTATATTTATTTTTTTTATTCTATGACAGATTTCTTACAATTACTGAAAGTGATTTTTAATAGCAACATTTTATTCGTGCCCCAGAATCATTATGGGAACACAGTTTTTTTTTTTTTAATCTTTTTTTAAATGTTATACGTCTTAAATTTGCTCAAATATGCAAATAAATATTACAATGTTTTTTTCTGTTCTAAAAACCCTACTCTCTAAAGACTGTAAATGTAACAACAAGTATTAATTTACTTTACTCAATCTACATGCCTAAACCAAATGCAAATAGTTTACTTAAAAATTTCAATATACAGTATCATACACAATATACACTTATATATTTGCATAATGTTTAAAGACAGCATATAATCAAAAGAAATAATTGACAATCAATTAAGAAAATAGTTGTAGCCTTACATCATGACAGGAAATCATGCACAAATCATAAACCTACAGAGAAGCAGCTAATACGGAGCATCACCAGAGAAATGTTCCCTTAGCTTCACTCTGACAGAGGTGCTTGGGTTCATGCAGCTATTGTTGGAGCACTATGTGTGTGTCTGTGTGCAATATAACAGTGACTAAAGGCATCATAAAAGCCACTGATTCTTTTGCTACAGCTCACAAAACAGCATCCTAGCATCCGTCGCTGCAGTCAGGCCGGCTGCCATAGCGATTGTAAAAGCAAAGACCCGGCAGCACAAAGGTTAGTCTGATCCCTCTCAGACAATGAAGTGAAGCTGACTTCACAGTGTGTGTGTCCGACATGGATTGTCTCCTGTATCCTCTAATCCTGTTCTCTGAGCTTCCTACCTGCCAGCGTGAGTCTCCAGTTCTATTAGACACAGGCAGCAGACAGGCTGATGGGAGCTGTTAGCATGAGACGTCCTCAGAACTACTGCAGCGAACAGACAAAATCGGAAAATAATCCTTTGTGTCTGCTGTCTCAAAGCTGCTTTTTCTCAACTGTTATACACTTATATATTGATATATGACTAGTATGTAAGTTTGTATGTAATGTATATGTAAGTATGTATATATATATATATATATATATTTTAGAGCTCTCCATTGATTAAAGACATTTATTGACTTTGTTATAAGCTTAATTATATAATACTTATAATTAGCTTCATATATATATATATATATATATATATATATACACACGCATACATATATATTTCAAATAATGAATTTCAGTAAATGACTGTGCATAATTCTCTAATAAATATATTAATAAAAATATTTTAAATTTGGGGGTGGGCAGACCCAAAAGTTCCACCACTCAAAAAGCATTAGATAATATAATTAAGCATAATTAGTGTTGACTTTTTTTTCCTGAGTTCTGCATGCATATATACAAAAAATCGCGCGAATATGAACGTAGTTTAGCGCAGCTCGTCAGTGAACAACGGCTCTGTGTAGTTAATGCTGCTCAATGTGAAAGCACGCAGGTGATGGAGATTTACCGCTGATTACAGAACCGGCTTTACTGATAAGATGCGCGTTAAATATCGCATGCGATTAATCGTGCAGCCCTAATATATATATATATATATATATATGGTAAAGCATCTCAAACAAAAAGATAAAGGAAATGGAATGGATTGACGAAAAAACTGGCAATATTTGTTTTTGTTTTTTTTCTTTCAGTCGAAGGTGCTGGAACGCTGTAATGGAACATCCTGGGTCAATTTAACCCTCAGGTGGTTGTGTGTGTGTGTGTGTGTGTGTTTTAGTTGGCAGTTAATTAAAAATCTATTTCAGTGTGCTTCAGCTTACATCAGGAAGATGTGAGATGTTTTTTGTCTCACAAGACTATGGCTGTGGGAGGCTGTGGAGGTTCAGCACATTTAGGTCTGTAGTCGTCTGATCAAATCCTTTGGCACAACAAATTTCAAACTTTCAAAGGCAGTTATAAAACTGCTTGAGCCTGTGTGTGTGTGTGTGTGTGTGTGTGTGTGCGTGCGTGTGCGTGTACCCAGATGGGGTACTGAAAGAAATTTCATGCTGTACTACATACATGGTTCCAAATTAAGGACTTATCCACACTTCCCAATTTCTATAAAATCAGTGATTACAGATACAGAAACATCTGCTTTTGGAAACCTCATCACTGTACAACACATTTTTAATTGATAATATTCCAATATCACTTTTGATGTAAAGCTGTATTTGTGTGATGTCAGATACCAGTTTATGAGCACATACGACCATCTGGAATCTATAGCGAGTACTAGAAGTGCACATGTAATTCAATTTCACTAGGTTTCAGGTTCATCTCCTTTCTATTTTCCTACTCTCTTTTTCACTAACAAAGACTGCTGGTGTCTCAAAACAACACCAGTTTAACATTTGTTAAACTTTGGCTCACTCCAATCTCTAGTTTCCTATGACAATATCATTGAGACACAGATGACTCAATTACCTGTGGGACAATTTTGAGGTCCCGCATTAAAACATGGCTAGTTTTTATCACCAATATTGCTCTATAACACGCCTTTATGAAAGTTGTTATGAAATGTGCATACACTCTAAAAAATGCTGGATAATAATAATAATAATAATAATAATAATAATAATAATAATAATAATAATAATAATAATAATAATAATAATAATAATAATAATAATAATAATAATAATAATAATAATAATAATAATAATAATAATAATAATAATAATAATAATAATAATAATAATAATAATAATAATAATAATAATAATAATAATAATAATAAGTACAAAATTAAGGAGCATACATAAATAAATAAAGAAATAAAATAACAAAAAGGGGAGGTATTTGTAATCTTCCGCCAACTCTAATGTTTAACTCTATTTAAAAGTTATTATAATAATTGTATATAGTATTATAGTTTCCTTTCATAAACATTAGGAATGAAAGATTGAAATTGGTTTGAAGACAGAAAATAAGGCTTTGTTTTCATACACTTAAACTTGAACTCATCATTTAAAGACTAACAGATATAGTATGTGAATATAGTGAATAGTGTGGCTTTGACAGAGCATTCTGGGAATATCCAGTGAGCAAACATTTCTGTATACTGGAGCAATTTTAACAATGAAAAAATGGCTGATTCTCTGGGAAATGCACTATTCAGAGGAGATGGAAACACATCCACGAACTCACCTGATTTATTCTCTCTTTTTACTCATCCTTTTCCTGGCTGTGTTTAATTCATTCCTCATTTCCTCCATGCAGGATGTCTGTCTCACTGAAATACACAAAAAAAAAGGCTTGAGATGCCATGTGAAAAACTAAAGTCTCAGTCAATCAGTCAAGTCAGTCTAGAGTAAATTTGATAAACCAAAAAATGTGTCCCCTGCACTTTGCTATCAGGCAGTCGTACATGCTATGTTTTTTTTCAGCTAGCAGAAAGATTGTTGTGTAATATTTTTACAAAGCAATATATACGTTGAAACAACAGGATATAATTTTGTAAATTTCGGTCTTAATTTTTTTCCTATGTTCATTTGCGATTGAAAAATGGATTATAAATTTGTACTTCTCAATATACACTACCATTCAAAGGTTTGGGGTCTGTAAGCCTTTTTTTTTAATAAAAATAAATTAATACCTTTATTCAGCAAGAACACATTAAGGTGACAGTAAAGAAATGTATGATGTTGCAAAATATTTCTGTTTCATTTAAATTGTTATTTTGAACTTTATCAAAGAACCTTTTGCCATCACAGGATGGCAATTTATTTATTTATATATTAAAATAGAAAACAGTTAACTGAATTTGTAATAATATTTTGCAAACAAATAATTTGTAACTATAATATATCATCTATGCTCTACAGATTACTATATAATCTGTACTCTGACTATAATCTATGATCAGTATTCTTTGCCTAAAACATAATTTGCTCATGACAATACAAGTAGGGTACAAATAAAATAACAATGAACAAGCCATAAGTGATTTTTGGTGCATATTCTATCCCCTTCACTTCTGAGACGTTTGCTACGCCCCTGCACACAAACCCACAAAATTACAATGATTTATATAACAGTTTAATGATTTATGAGGCTCTCTGCGGGTACTAAGGGCCTATTATAAATATGTGTGACTGTATGGGTTTGTGTATGCTTACACTTTTACTAGTATAACCAAAAGATGAAACATTAAAGGGGTCATATGATGTTGCTAAAAAGAACATTAT